TTCTCGCATGCACGTTTATCATGCCCTGAACTCTGTCAAAACAATCAAAGAAAATGAGAGTTCACAGTTACACAGTATTTTTTTCTGGAGATTATACACACTCACTTTAAAATTTGGCCCACTCTCTCTGGCTTGGCTCATAAAACTACGTTTCTACTAATCAACAGCTGAGCGCAGAGGGGAGGGAGGATTCAATAATAATCTGGCCTGGAAAGTCCAGCTGCTTTAGGTGTAGGTGTGTGTTTGCACAGGGGTGGCAGCTGAGCGGCGAAGGGACGACAGGGCAGCCACGCTCTCAGCCCAGGAGCAGCATGGGGCAGGGCTCTCCAGTGCTGATCTCCTGCCAGCACATTTTCATCAGAGAAGGTCAGACACGGAGCATGCCAAAATCCACACAAATAACAAACCTCCAGTGAGGCCGTGACATCGCCATCCCTGCGGAGGAGCGTGCTGGCGTGCAGACACGATCCTTGGCAAAAGCCGAGTGCAACCCAGAGACTCCCCTCCCCTCTCAAGGCGTTCTTGCATTGGACTGTGCCAGTGCTACAGGTATTAACTCCTACCAGCTCTAGCGACAGTAACGACAAGAAAGAGAGACCAAAGTAAGCCCTTTGTACTTGACAACAGTTTCTCCCAAGCCAAAGTTTCTATTGCAAGTAAACTAAACTAGTCATCAAACATCTTGATTGAAGCTCTCCCTGTCTTCATCAAAATGCGAATTCCGCCTTTTGCCCAGTCTGTTGTGTCAGGACACTCCTCCCTCCAACGGTGCTCTGCTGTACGCTCTCCAGAGGGAAGTGAAATGTTAATTCTCCCATCACCTCTTTCATGTCAAATGTCCTCACCTTACTGTACGAGTCAGATTTCTGATTCTTTTCTTCCTGTGAAAGGGATTTAGAGGGTAATTCCTCATTAATAAGACTATTGTAATTCTTATTAAGAATTCCTTGTTAATGAGAGATCCGCCAAACACATGACTAGACTAATTTATACAGTGCTTATTCTCAGCAATACCTGTACTCTGAATTTCTGGTGTCCAGCAATTAACAAACCGAAGCACTAGTACAAATCCTCTCCTGGCATAAACAGGCACACCACGATTTCCACAGACTTCAGGAGACAAGAGGACAGCTACGTTGCCAAAATCCTGGCTTAGCTTCCCGGCTCTGCTGCGAGCTACTCCTTTCTCATTTGTTTCAGCCACAGACGGGCAGCTCCTGAAAGCTACTTCTATTAGGACCTTCCCAAAGAGTAGAAAGATGGCTGGGCGATCACGCTCCGCCTGCCACGTAGCTGCTCCACCTCCACGGGCACGATGCCTCACACTAAGCAGTCACACCACGGCAGTAACAGTAAGCCCCGCTGATCTTCTTCCAGCACGTGAGTAATGAAACAAGGAGCCTCACGACTCCTTGCGCAAGGAACTAAAGCAAGCTCGCAGTGCTTAATGTTCCCCTGGCCAACAGGTATTATGCCATTAACATAAAGGGCAGCAGGGGCAGTTAAGCCGTGTTCCTTTTTTCCTTCCTTTTCCATGCAAACTTTAACATAAATAGTCCTCAGAAGCAAGTCACAAGCATATTACAGGTGAGGGACGCCGAACACAGAGACAAAATAATTCAGCTCAGTCGTACCCATGCTGGCCCTCCCCAGGGCCAGCTTCGGCCTCTCCACATTGCATCATGTACTTGCAAGCACTGAGGTGCAGAGCCAGCTCAGTGGGTCTGGAAGGAGCCAGGTCCATGCCCCCCCGGGCCGTAAGCATCCCTTCAGCGTCAGCACGGGTGGGAGGGAAGAGGTGAAGAAGGGGAACAGGGACTCTTCCAGCCAGAGCCACGGGAAGGTAAATTCAACAAGGTACAAACACTGCCAATTTTTAAGTGAGGACTGCTTACAAAAACATTAGGAAAAACCTTTTGACAGAAAACGCCCCTTACTCTGCACTTGACTTGTGCTCCAACCAACCTGGCTGCTGCACCGCCTTCAGCAGTGAATTACAGCTTACGCGGTATTTTGCTACCGACCATTCGGTTCCCACGTCCTCCCCGGCTGTACGCCAAGGTCTGCAGCCTGCTCCCTTTCCGCCATCGGCCCGGCCAGCCAATCTAGCACTGACTGCACCAAATGGAAAGGCTGCCCGATGGCAAGGGAAGACTCCCACGCAGTTCAATATATTCTTTGGCAGAAAACTGAGATTAAAAAGCAGGCTAAACTCAACTACTATTTGTGTAACTGGAGTATCCTGGTTACAGAGCTTGTAACCATAGCAATCATTTAAACAAAGCTTTAAAGAAAATATTCCCTCGTTATTGAAATGTTGATCCTTGATTCTGATTCAGTTTCTTTATCTTCCTCTCGTCTCCGATCTCAGAGGTGGCTGTCTGCCTCCAGGTCTTACAGAAGACACGGGAAAGGAAGAGCTCGGCTCAGAGCTGCCAAGTATCCTCAACTGGTATTTGTGTCTTGTGCCAATAGCATGATGCTTCCTAAACATATGAATACGAAAGGATCAGTTTGTCATGTGGGGATCGGGAGATCTGCGAACATTATACAAGCAATCGGCTAGCAGGGATGTTTCTTAGAACAAGTCCCAGGCAATTAAACTGAGCCTACTATTAATGACATTCCAAACGAGGTATTAGTTAAGTTGGAGCCAAACTAATTTAGAAGCTCAGGCACTGAAAAAAAAAAGAGAAAAAAAAAAAGGTGGAAGTATTTGGAAATTGGCAATTAATATTATTATTCAAGTCTCCTTGATTTTATGGCCGGATTACCTTCTATCTCCAAAGACTCCATTCCACAGTTACGACTCTTGTATCAGTAAGAGTCATGCAGGCATCACACAAAGGCAGCATTGATTTGTCATTCTGTAACTCTATCTGGATAACCAGGGAGATTTTTATTTTGAAAAGATCCTGCCGGAGCTTTTTATTTTTTTCAAATGCTTGTTAAATGAGTATGTAGCCAGGAAAATGGGACACAGAAGCAGTAAGATGGATGTGATCTGCGCACGTGTTTTTCTCACAAGAAAACAAGCGCAGTGCATGTTTAACAAAAGGGAGTAGCTTCAGGGTTACATTATGTAATGGAGCCAGATGTAAACTCTTGAATATACAGCACTCCAGGCAGGTACATTACAAAAAAGGAAACATTTTTCTTCATGGGAGGAAGGAGCAAATTTCTTCTTGGAACACGGCTTGAGAGCTACTCCTGGATGCCACCACGGCTGGTTCAGCCCTGCAAGCTTTGCTCACGTGAGCATTGCATCAGGCAGTCTGTGGGTTAAGGAGCTATACCAGCCGCTGTAGTTTCTCTGTACATCCCATTGATGTTGGTTGGACATCAGTGAATGAAAAGCAAATGTGCAGGAAACCCAGTGACTAATATGTGTATTTAAGGCCAAAAAATACTCATGTACCAAGTCAATGACAAAGCACAGCAGCTGCAGCCTTAACAGGAAAGCAGGTTTTGTTTTATATGGCCAGGTTTTACTAGCATCAGAATGAACAGAAGTTGTTTCACAGAATACTGCCAGAATAGAAATCAAATATTAATATAGCTGTGTGAAACCTGGGTGTATTTTTAGGTGCACACACCCACACACATATGCAGCCCGATTAGTTCATTCCCCTCCTCTG